CGCTCAGCCGGAGACAACTACCACTACCAGGCCCCCCTCTGCTCCACTACCCCCACTCCCACTCCCACCCTGAGCCCGTCGCGGAAGAGCCCATCGAGGAGCTTGCTCCTGAGTCCCCGGCCGAGGGGTCCAAGAGCTCCGACAGCGGTAGCAGCAGCGCCCCTAGCGACAGCCACTCTGGCGACCTGACATACTACGATGTCGGTCTTGGCGCTTGCGGTTTCGATGACACTGGCAAGGACAACTCGGACAACATTGTCGCCCTTTCGCACCTCCTCATGGGCACGCAGTCCAACGGCAACCCCATGTGCGACCAGACCATCACCATCAGCGCCAACGGCAAGGAAGTTGTTTGCACTGTCCGCGACAAGTGCATGGGCTGCGAGCCCGAGGCCATCGACGTGTCCAAGGCCGCCTTCCTCGAGCTCTTCGGCTCGCTGACTGCTGGTCGCACTGAGGTCAAGTGGTGGTTCAACTAAGTATCCCACCTCCGGAGGCTTCGGCGTTTCTCCCACAAAGGATCCACCAGTGGGCTTCAGTCCGGGCTGGCAATCTTTTTGACGATATCATGACCCTGGATTATACCAATTTTCAGATTCCTCTTTTTAGTGGATCTACAGATGATTTCACCCCATTATGGTGTTCACACAGGGAACAGAGCTCTTGGATACAGACGCTCAAGGTTGGACAGGCTGGAAGGAATAAAATGGTGTTTTGTCATTTCTGGGCTATAGACTTTTATCCTTCTCTGTATATTCTTCGCTCAACTTGCCTACTCCTCTGTTCGTTCGACAGGGTGGGTCAAGAGGCAGTCCACAGGATTTGGCTGAGTAAGATATCGAAACTTATCAAGCATGAAACAACTCAATCGGTGGAATGTGACTGTATGCTGATCGGTGTGTATGCAACGCGTGGGAGAAGCGAGCCTCGAACTTTAACTTTTAGGTTGGGTATCATCAGAAGAATATTGAACACAAAGGATGGGAGGGCTAGGCATAATGGAGACGAGGCCTCCGCGCTCAAGCATGTCTCGACCCCTCGCCTTCTGGTGCGTCTGCTGCACCCGTGCCGCCGTCTGCCTCCGCCATCTCGACGTCATCCTCATGGCCTTCTATCCTGAATGTGCCCTCGAGGTCGGACCATTTATCTGGCGTAGGCGCCGATAACTCCTCATCCGAGTTCTCTCCGTTGTCCATGAGCAGCTCGGGACGGTCCATGACGGCCTGCCCTCCAGCAATGGCACCCTTGCCCCTGCCACGTCCACGCGCATGCCATCTGACCCTGTTCTTGCGCCCGTCGGCCTTGGGTCGACCGCTCGGCAGCGGCTTTCTCCTCTTCCTCGCCCCTTCGTCGTCGTCGTCGTCGGCAGCGCCGTCGCCGCCACCGCGCCTGCCGGCCCCCTTCCAGCCGCCGCGGCGGACGCGCGGAATGGCAGACAGCCTGTCCCGGTAGGCGGGCGCCTGGGCGTAGACAGTCACATCGTCCTTTTCCTTCTTCTTGAGCTTGAGGGCCATGAGGTCCTCGAGGAAGCGCGTCTGGATCTTGCGCTCGCCCGTCTTGTCGCCCCAGACGGGGATGCGGATGCCGTGACGCAGCTTGATGTCGCGGAAGCGGTCGGGGCCTTGGTCAGCGACGTGCTTGGGCGCGACCTTCATCTCGGTCGTCGCCATGCGCGCCCAGCTGGCGGCGAGGAGGTCGACCTCGCCGGGCAGGGAGCGCAGGCACGGCAGGCGGCGGCCGCGGTGGTCGGGCGTCTGGTCGGCGAAGATGAGCTCCGTGCCGAGCACGCGGGACCAGGAGCCCTTGAAGATGCGGTTGCGGTAGCCGAAGAGGGGATGTTCGGTGTGGAGGTCGAGAATCTGGAGCTCGTCGACGGCGGGCTCTTCGTTTCCTGGAAAGGCGTCCTTGCCAGTGCCGCCGCCGCCGCCGTCGCCGCCATTGCCGGCTGCTTCGGGGTGCTGTTGGCCTGTGCCTCCCTGGCCTTGTTCATCCTCAAGTTCTTCGTCTTCCTCGTCATCGTCTTCGGGTTCGGGCAGATCATCGTCCTTGTCTTCTTCGTCCGAATCGAGGCGGTGATGGGTCATGGTAGGTCGTTTGCGCTGGGAGGGTTGGGTCCAGCTCTTATGTTGGTGGCCGCCTCGAGTGGACGCGGGAATGGGGCGCCATCGGCGCGCAAACTGGGGGATGGATAGGTCGACCGTCATGTAGTATGTCTGAATGGACGTCAGCTCTTGCTTCAAGAGAGGGCGCGGCTGGCGCTTCGTGCCTCTGTCTCGGTGGAGGAGTACTCGTACTCCCATTCGTCTTCGTCCTCAGCCTCTGGTGGTGGTTGTAGGATTAGTGGAGGAGGATCGTCCAAGGCACTGGCGGCCGCGACTGAAGTCGGGAATGCTGAAGACATTCCGGGAGCCCTGTGAATTCGAATGCTGAATACTGTGATCCTCAAGTCCGGCGCTGGTCGATTGAACTGACAGGAAGCGGTGGAGGGGCGTGAGGTCGAGCCTGTTGTGTGGTTGCAGAGGAGCAAGTGTCACTGGGGCGAGATTCCCGAGCTTGACATTTGGGTCAGATAAGATAAGCAAGCAGTGCCCCTCCTCGAATGCCGACTGTGACTGACTGCCCCGCTATCGTAGCCAGCGCCAAATTTCCATCTCCAGCATCGAGAGACCTCCATCCGACACTGAGTCACATAACATACTATCCCATATATTACTCGCAAGCCAACCGAGAAACCTGGAGCGCCTGGACGATCATTCTTGTCTCTCTCTCTCCATATCGGCATAAGTCTCCCACCATCCGTCCCTCGCCATTCCTCCCGACACCGACACGATGCCGACCGTCCACCTCTTGGACTATGTCGCTGGAAATGTGCGCAGTCTGGTGAATGCCATTGAGAAGGTCGGCTACCAGGTTGAGTGGATTCGCAAACCGGAAGATGTTCCTTCAGCAGAAGTATGTTCCTCTCTCCTCGCTTGCTCGCTTCCCCCCACCCTTCCCTGAGTCATAACTGACGATGCGATCATCAGAAACTCATCCTTCCAGGCGTAGGCCACTTTGGTCACTGCCTGTCCCAGCTTGGACAGGCGGGCTTCCTCCCCGCTATTAGAAAACATATCGAGTCCGGCAAGCCATTCATGGGCATCTGCGTCGGTCTGCAAGCCATCTTCGAAGGCTCTCTAGAGGACCCCGAGACTGCCGGCCTCGGCGTCATCAAGGCCAAGCTCGACCGTTTTGATGATTCGACAAAGTCGGTCCCTCACATCGGTTGGAACAGCGCCAACACTGGCGGCGCCGACATGTACGGGCTCCGACCCGACTCCAAGTACTACTACGTTCACACGTACAAGTGCCCCTACAAGAGGGGGGAGCTCGAAGCCGCAGGCTGGACGGTGGCTACGGGAACCTACGGCACGGAAACGTTTGTTGGCGCAGTGGCCCAAGGACAACGTCTTCGCCACACAGTTCCACCCCGAAAAGAGCGGTGTCGCTGGTCTGCGCACCCTCGAGGCCTTCCTCACGGGCGAAGGTGCAAAGGCGCTCGCGTCCAGGCCGGCAGACCAAGCCGCGCTGCCCTCCGCGGCTGATCTCAGCTTCCAGGACGGCCTCACCCGCCGTATCATTGCCTGTCTCGATGTGCGTACCAACGACCAGGGTGACCTCGTCGTTACCAAGGGTGACCAGTATGACGTGCGCGAGAATTCGGAGGGCGGCAACGTGCGCAACCTCGCCAAGCCGGTCGAGCTCGCTCGGCGTTATTAGGACCAGGGAGCCGAGGAAGTGCCTTTCTTAAACATCACCTCCTTCCGGACCATCCCCCTGCCCGCCCTCCGGAGGCGGGAGATTCTGGAACGCAGTTCGAAGACGTTCTTGGTGCCACTGACGTCGCGCGCATCCGCGACTCGTCGAC